ATCTACTAAAATCTTTGGGATAATGGAAGAAAATTTAAAAAAAAATCGTAGTGGGCGAATGAGCAAAACTCAAAAAGAATATTTGATTTGGTACTTAGAGGGGCACCGGGCAATGTTGGATGCCAAAGTGTCCCCACAGCAAATTGAACCAATAAAAAACTTGTGGCGAGACCTAGGGGAAAAGCTGAATAATTTATCAGGCGCAAAAAAAAATATCAGACAATGGAAAGATGTAAGCATGCTATTCTTGTACCTATGTAATATATCATTATGTAGTAAGGAATAACGATTTATTTTGTTTGCGAATAATACTGTGGGAATGAAAACATATATTTTTAGACTTTAAATGAAATGAAAGTTAATGCAAGAAAAAAGGCAAGATTACTACATATTGAACATAAAGGGACAGGAGGTGGCCCGAAGAAAGAAAAAGACCTAACAGATCTAGAGCAGAGATTGCTTGGTTTACTATCTAATGTTGTCATAACAGGACTTCCCACAGTTAAGGAATTCGGTGTAGATGTAGAAACTCAAAATATGCCTGAACCTGATGCTCCTGATCAAATGGAAGATGTAAGTAAATTATAAAGCATAACCAGGCACATTTACTTTGATATATCAGCCAATTAATGTTTAAAAGAATTACAGTAATACAGGAATAACAAAATTTATCAAAAGTTTAAAAAATAAATATATACCTACACAAACATGGTTGCCCTATTTTACAAAAAATAGAATGTTGTAGATTATTCAGTTATAAAAAAATCACCTAACCTAAGAATTCTTTTAGACAAAGTTCTTTAGAGATAGTGTTGAGTGCTAAGTTGACATGATGCGACAACCATTTTAATATAATTTATTTTATAACATTTAAACTATTTTAATGATTACAATAATGCCAAACTTTAAATTATTTTAGGTTGAAAATATTGAAATTATTTTAGACGATTATGAAGTAATCCCACCTACGTCTTTTGGTGATACACATTCCATTTTGAGTGCTGATTTTTCACCTTCCACTTCAACTGCTAATTATCTACCTTCCACTTCGACTGCTGATTATCCACCTTCTATTTCTACAGCTTATAACCCTCCTCCCATTTCTACAATATTACATCCAAAAAATATTCAAGTGAGTTAAATAAATTTTCTTCAAACATTTTACATACTTTTAATACACTACTTTTTTAGTCTAAAACAGGAGCAAGACTGTACTATCCCAAAAAAAAAAGGCTCGAAAAAAATATAAACAATATCGCCATCAACCATGAGCAGTGTCTAAATAATCTGGCAGCTTCCAATAACAGATTAGCAGATACTATGTTACGTGTGAGCAAGAAAAAGAACAGAGGACCAGTATTTTCATTAACATTTTAAATACATCATTTTTTATTTAGAAGGATCTGCATTTTTTGTTTTTAGAATCTGTATTATTTTTGTTTGTTTGTTTGTAAGTTATTAGTGACCTAAAATATTTATTTTGTTTTTACGTTGTTTTTGTTGCCTATTTGAATACATTTTTATTCTATAAATTTTGTGTATTTCTAATGCTGTACTATTTTTTAAATGTCATGTTTTTTTTGTTTCTAACTCCCTGTGGGAAGCAGGCAGCTATAAACTTTTCTAGCCTCTTTAACCACACAGGAAGGCTATGGGGTCTAAAGTAAAGGTTGGTAGGAATGGTGATAGGTAACTGAGGGGTGTATATTTATGATAAAGTAAAAATTTAAATCCAACTCTGTGCTGCACCACATATGTACTGACACCTTATATATTTCAAGAACATTTTAAAATTTAGAGATCAGGATTCATTATAATTTAAACATTTTTGCAAGTATTTAAATAGGAAGTTATCAAACTTTGCTAAAGGTTGGAAAACCTGTTTAAAACAAAAGGCACTTAAAAATATATTAACAAGTCTTAAATCTAAATTATCTCACAAAATATCTTTGAATAATTTGATTTCTTCTTATTACTCCCACATTGAGCCAATCATTACCATCTGGTACTGGATTAATATTTACTGGAAGTTCTACGTAATTTGGTTCCTCTTCGACATCAACAGGCATTGGTACTGCTCTGGTTCTAGCTATATTATGTGCTACACAGCTATAAATTATGTCTGCGACTTTATTAGGAGTATAGTATAATGCTCTTTATCCATGGATACAACGAAACCTATTTTTTACTAATCCTATTGTATGTTCAACATTAACTCTTACAGATGAAAGAGCAGTGTTATATCTTATATCTGGACTATCTGGGGCAGCATCTTCAACTGGAATTAATAACCAAGGTTCGAGGGGATATCCACTATCCCCCAGAAGGTAATCTTTTGAATTGTTATTTATATAATCTCTATGTAAGAGCTGCCGAACATTAGACATCATCCAAATGGCTGAATCATGTACTGATCCAGGGTATCGAGCATTTACATTTATAATTTTTTTATTATGGTCACATATGACCTGAACATTTAATGCATAAAAATTTTTTCTGCAATAAAATACCGGCCCTGGATAAATTGGATGGTTTGCTGGTGGTGAAACAATTCTAATTAAGGTTCCATCAACAATTCCTATACAATCTTCAAAATAACCAGATAATGCCCTAAATCCTTGTTTTGTAATATGTTTTTGTTCCTGTGTTAAAGGAAATCTAATCCATTGATTTGCCAGATGTTCTTTTATTACTGTACATATTTCTGTTAGGCATCTACTGACTACAGGCTGACTTACTGCAAAACAATGTCCGAGACTGACCCCTGTCTGGTAACTTCCTCGGCCAAAAAAATGTAATACTGTCAGTATTCTTAAATGAATAGGTATTTTTGAAATTCTGGTACGTTGGTTCAAATGTGGACCCAAATATTCAATTAAATATTGACATGTTGGTTTGTCTAGCCTAAATAGTTTCAAAAATAATCCATTTGGGAGTTCAAACGGATTACTTGTATCTCTTAAGTTTCTGCAATTCAAGTTGTTTACTAAACTGAAATTAATTTACGGTTTTAAAACATATTTTATACATTATAAACTAAATAGGCCTTACATATTTTGTCTATTTTCATTATATTCTTGGATTAAAAGATGTATTAATCCATCCAAAGCCATTTTAAAGTGTATGTTAATCGTTAGCGGGTACTAGGTAGGTACGCCTTAAAATTATGTTTTTAACGCCCCCTTTTAACCTATTTATGTTTATTTTTTTTAACTTATTATGTGTTACGGAATAGGAAATATTATTATATTTGAACTACTCTTGACAGTACATGTTAAAATGTATGCTTCGAAACGCTACAGAATAACTTTACAATATTAACGTAGGTTATTTTTTTTAACGTCCGTTAAAATTTAACATATTCGTTACAGAATTACCACTTATGTCGGTTAGTATCATACTTATACTTTAACCGTACAATACTGTTTTTTTATAACTTTTATTATAGTTAAAAAAAAAAGTGTTCCTTATGTGTACCCAATTACCCATCGCTCCCCTACCTATTCAACTTAATTTTTATCAAGCTAATTCCAAGTTCTCATAGGATTACTAGGAAAACATATGATACATTGCGTTTTCTAGGTAGTTATACGAAATTTCCGGTAGGCCTAACTAGTTTTTCAAGTAAAGCGCGCAATATTTTATCCTGCCAAAAATATCAAGTTCTCTATTATTGTCGGTAGGTAATGTTTCGCATGTAATTACAAATTACTCGACATGCGATCCGGTCTGAAGTCAGTTAAGTTCATACCTAGATGTTATACGACTGACTGACACCGGTTTTGTTATAGTCTGTAGGTCAACCAGAAAAATATGCGAATTGTTACTATTATAACAATTTTTGTTATTAGTATCGTTGTTTTGTAGTTTATAAACAGATTAAATGTTTACGAACATTTAATTTACCAAAATAAAGTGTTATAGTTACTAATTTGACATTAATTTGAAAAATGGATTGTGATAGTTGCCAAAAATTTCATTTAGGCATTCCAAACAAAATGGTTGCGCGTCTCGTAGGTAATGACAAGCACATGACAGATTATGATATGACAGATTATGATATGGCAACACTGTGGGCCTGGTGATTTGACAGGGTCAATGATATATGTAGTTGTTAAATTTTTAACTAGAACAGATCTACAAATGAGTCTTGTTTCAGTTGTTCGGCGGCTAAACGTCTGTCTAATGTGACGCTAGTTTTACAAGTTAAAAAAAATATATATTTCACTTGAATTTTTTTGGTTTTTGTGGATCGGCTGCTTACTGTAAAATAAATTTTAGCGCTGTTTGGTTAAAGATACTTTATTGTTAAAGAGTAGGTAAAAAATACATCGCACACTCAGTAATACAGTGGCATAACTCAAAATTTGCATATTTAAACTTTTAATCGTAAAACGTTCCAAAATAGAGGCTTCCATATGTAGAGCTTTTTAAATGACGGTGCTACTCCAACGCAGAACGTCTTAGCTTGGAGTAGCAGCGTCATTTAAAAAGCTCTACGTATGGAGGACGCCATTTTGTGCCGTTTGACGATTAAAAGTTTAAACATGTAAATTTTTAGTTATGCCACTTTATTACTGAGTGTGCGACATATTTTCTTCTTAATTTATTCTGATGCTGACCAATTATATATGGATTTATCCGTGAGGTATTCTCTACCTACCAAAAAAAAATAATAATAATATTCGGACAATGTGATTAGAATTATCTTTGAAAATACTGATGACTTTCTTATAGACCCCATTATTAGATCTTGACCAAATTTATATGGAACCATCCCTGAGGAATCCTCTTTAAAAAAAGAAGCATATTTATCGGACAACATAGTAAGGAATTATCGCTGAACATGCATAAAAAAATATTCCGACGAATTGAGAACATCCTCCTTTTCTGAAATCGGTTAAAAAATTATTAATTTTTGTGTATAATCTATTTTTATGTATGAGAGAGTATTAAAATAATAAAACGTCCGTAATCCATAGGCGTAACACCTCTTTTAGTAGACAGTTAAAATATTTTTTGAAGTTATTCCTCGAGTATACACTTATATTTTCACCTAATTAACCTGCTTATAACTTCTAAACAGCTGAAGGTAAAAACGTGCAATTTTTTCTAAAATGTTTTATTTTTCCACAAGATATGTTAAGAATATTGTGTCAAACGGGTTATGTAGGTATAAGGGTTTTATACTTTGACTTTTAAACAACGTTACGTTCATAAATAATAATTTTAATATAAAAACTACTTCTTACCTACAAATCCAAATTAGAATCGAAATCAGAAGATGAACTGTCGCAACCAATGTTTACAATGAGTGGCTCGATCGTTTCATCAATAATATTGTCCAACTTCCACATTTTCTCTTCTTCTTTAATCGTATGATTTACTGCCTTTTCCCAGTTTTCAGGCTTCACATTATTTACAGCCTCCAAAAACAACTGTTTAACATCACTCATTTTAAAAGAATTATTTTTTCTTGAAACTTCTCCCTTTATCTGTGCCCATATCAGTTCAATCGGGTTTACTTGGCAATGATATGGTGGTGATCTAACCACCGTCATCCCACGATTTTTTGCAATTTCATCAATTTCATATTTTTTGAATTTCTCTTTATGAAGAGAACACAATTGATACAGTTCTTTTCTCACAGAACCGGGATGGAACTTAATATTCTTTGAATTTAGCCAATTCTGTAAATCTTTTTTTTAACCACTTGGTTGTGGGCATTTTTTCTATAAGTCTCGAGTGATAACTTGCATTATGCATTACTATTATACAGTTCTGAGGAAGAAGATCTATAATTTGTTCGAACCACTCTTTAAAGACATCAGTATTCATGTCCTCATAGTAGTCACCGATACGAGTAGATTCAAAAGTCAATAAACCACCTTTAACAAAACCGATTGAACTACCGATGTGTACTATTATTAGTCTGCGCCCCTTTCCTGATGGTGGATTTAAACCAGTAGATAAATTATTTAAAAAAGCCTGTCTTCGACTTGTAACAGTTTCATCTTGCCAAAATTTATTTGGTTTATGTCCCTCGTTGATCCATGTTTCATCTAAATAAAATATATTTCTTCTTTGGTTTCTCATTTCTTTTATAGTCCTTAGGTAATTTCTTCTCCATACTACAATATCGCTTCTTTCTATTAAAATAGACTTTCTGGAATGCTTTTTCCATAGAAAACCTATTCCTTTTAAAAGTTTCCATAGTGTGCTTCGACTCATTTCAGGGTAATCCTTATCATCTTGAACCGTGGCAAGAACTTTGTCTACTGTCGGAAATTCTTTTCTAAAGAAGACCGCATGCACTTTCATTTGAAGTCTTTCTTTCAAAAGATTTTCTAATTGAAATTTTGATTTTCCTGGACTTTACGTGCTGTTTGAAACTCGCCACATTTCTCTTTTTTAGCAACTCTGTAAATCGTAGATTTCCCAACACCAAGCGTACTACTAACTAATTCCACTGTGTCGTCAACACTTTTACATAAATGTTTGTCTGTAAATGATTTAAAACAAATAAATATTAATGATTTTTCATTAACTGTTAAAGGACCGATTTTTTGTCGTTTACGCGGC